CAACCAAAATATACAATAAAAAACATCACAATATACCAAGTATACTAAATATTAGTTCAAAGCAAAATATTACTTTCAGTAAACAAAACAATGAGTTCATCAGTGTTTTGATTGAATATCTGAGGATTTTTATTTTAACATAGTGCCATCAATAATTAACGTTATTTGTATTCTGTTTATGTTAATGAGAATTAGCACCTGTCCTTTCAATTACCAAGCCTTTCTTTGGCTCCTCATTCCTGGTAAGAACAAGTACAGGATAAAGAATGAAGTGACACAGATTTGAAAGAACAAAACTTTCAAAAAGAAAAACAAACCATGGTGATTGCCACATTCAAAAGAAAATGAAAAATAGTAATAATTACTATCCTCTAAATAGAATAACAGAAAGGTCCTCTGATAATCTCAGATAAGATAGTATAATACATACAACAAGTATCGAAATGCACACCATCATGTCAGGATTCATTGTTTTGATATTAATTATGTTATCATCAGGAATGACATAATCATTCCTGATGATGACATAATTAAATATTGAAATATTGAATCCCGACATGGTGGTGTGCATTTTGATACTTGAAGTATGTAATATACCATCTTACCTAAATAAAATAGGTAATAAAATGAGGCATGTTGTGGCAAAATGGCTAAGTTGTAGCAAAAATTGAAAAAAATGTCATTGGTATTTTCAGATACCTGAGTATGTGATCTTTAAAATGAGGGGGTCATTCATTGAAATTTGATATTTTAAGCCAAAGTTATTGGATAGTGAAAGTACCGAACACTTTGAGTCAAGATAAACATGATTTTGAGTAATTGCCTTCCAAAGTTATTTGGGCGTACATTGTTTAATAAAATTAACTATCTAAATAACATTAAATAAACGATTTGTTGACAACTTCCAGAACTAATACTTTGGGAAATAAAACATTAAACTGTTGATAATAGTGAAAGAAATTTTGGATTTTTAGGCAATTTTTTCAGCTACCATATTTTATAGCTCATTTACTCAATACTGGCCTGTGCGACAACTTAACCATTTCGCTACGACATGCCTCAAATGATGATTTTTCATTTTTCTTAAAGTGACAGTACTGTTAATCCTTTCTTCTAGTACTGTGTTTTGTACTTAATGTGTAAATGATAACAAAAAGTAAATGACTCCCTATATAATTCAATAAAATTTTAATTCTTTTATTTCAGACAATTAATATCCATATAATACAAAACAAGGCAAGAGAAAAAAGATCAATCAAACTGAATGAACAGCGCACAAAAAAAAAAAATAAAATTGTGAACCTCTTAGAAATAATTAAAGGACAAGGCCTAAGTGTACAGCAGATCTGTCCACCAACAATTCAATTTGGAAAACCTCAGCACATTTTTACATAAATTGGAAACAAGCATTTTTCTGCTGGAAAACTAAATTCTACTCCTTAAAGTAAGGCATTGTTGCATTGTTGGCTTTCGGAACTCCTGCCAAAGTAAATTTCTTTTTCTCGCTTGTAACAAACAAGAGATTGCTCATCATTATAGGGCTAATGTACACAAGATATATCTTGTATGATCATATGGAATGATAACTGATCTACTTTTACCATGATAATATATTATAACAACACTAATGGAGAAGAGCTGAGTCCAAATTTACAAACATTTATTGATGTTTGTTGTTAACTATCAGCTTTAACAAATTTACATTTGTTATATATTACGATAAGCTTGTCAAGTTGGATTAGATTCGAGTGCATGTATTTTTATCATGGAAAACACTATGGATAACCCACAAAAGTCCAAAGTCTTATTTCTAATGATATTTATGGTGGTGCATAATAATAATAATAATAATAATTATTATTATTATTATATTTATTTGGCAAAAGTATACAGTATTAAGATAACATATTGTCCGGATAGGGGGTAATGGGCGAAAGCCTGAGCAAGATTTGCTCCCTATCCTTCATATTATGAAATACACTAATTAAAACAAAAAACAATCAGAGATTCATCAGAACATAAAAAGATATAAAATGCTTAACTAAATTATTCTCAAAGAGGACAGATTAACGTTTTGAAGTATAGGAGGCAGTTCTTCCCAGAGTCTACGACACAAAAGCAGAGCTAGGAAAAATATTGCTATTGGCCAGGGGTGGGCATAAAATTGATCAGAGGGCCAAAGTGAATTTTTGATTTAACACCGAGGGCCACACAACTTTGATGTTCCCAGTGTACTTCGAAAAACCTACAAGAACTGCCTTTACACCAATTTATTCTCAGTTTTAATGTTACTTTTACGTGATCGGTGTCTTCTAGCTAATGTTGCTTGGCAGGGCCGCACACATAGGGTTTTTAAGTCACTTTCACGGGCCTCAATTTTTCCACCTGTGCTTTTGACTTGAATAAGCCTGCCCTCATATATGCATTACTGTACACTGCAGATAGTTTCTGCTTTGCACCGAAGAGTGTAGCCTACTGCATTCTTTAAGATGCACATGAGCCACACTGTAACACATAAGTTTCTTCTCAAAGATGGTGTGACTATTAAAATGTGCATTTCAATATCGAGCTTAAACACAAAATTAGCAGATAGAATTGAAACAGGGACCAAGGTTGTATAAGGATCCCTGGAGAATTTGAAGCATGGCCTACAGGAAATGAGCAAGCATTGTATAGAATTCCCAACTACAAGGCTAAGAAATTATTATTCTTTGGGTCTTAGGTACCCTGTACACACTTCAATCCCATCTCCAAACAAAAACCACTTGGGCCACTTCCCCTTTGAAGTTCATGACCAATTTTGTCTTAACCCACCTTTATTAAGAATTGGCATTAAGTAAGTATGTTCAGTGTATTAAAAAAAGAGGTATTATACTACCACTGTAGTGCATGTTTGAACTTAAATCCAACATCCTTGTAAACAGAAATATGTACACATCTATATGAGGGTGGCTAGATCAAACAAAGAGATAAATACTCTTTATGCTTAGCTAGAAAACACCTAAAATATTTGAACAATATTTAAGTAACTGATTAAACTTCCAATGAAAATTGATAAAAATAAAAAATTTTGTATGGTAACTCAAAAGTTCAACATAATTCGTTCAAAAAAGCACATTCAATAATTATTTTAAGCTATACTTGCTGTTGTATTTGAATTAAACAAATTAAATTAAATTAAATTATTATTAAACGGAAATTTTATGATAAAAATAAAGGAGGAAGCATTCACACTCCCACAGAGCATGCACACTGAGTAATAAAATGACGAAATAATCAAATGAACCAATCAGTGGGCCGTTCTCATAGTCGTTATCAAGGAGAGCTGGGGTTTGTATGTACATGAAAAGAACCTGATTTTAATTGGTGAAAATAAAGTCTATCACAATAGATTGACCAGCCATAGTCGGGCTTATAAAATTAACTTTATAATGATACTAAACACGATATGGCCGATAATAAGGATGATTTATCGAGTGTTTTTTAGGGTAAACATAATGTAATTTTTTATACTTCCGGGTTATAGCAGCTCTCTAAAATCATGATTTTGGGCATTTTAAGGTATTTAAAAAACATGATTCTGTTGAAAACTTGATTTGTGAAAATATTGTCCTCTACCATTGTTTAAGCCTATATTCAAAAACAGCCAACGCGACTTCCTACTGTTTCCCCCTTGTCACCGCTACATTTAAAAGAAAGTATTAATATGAGATGAACATTGAATTATGGTAATCTATGATAATTTGAATGATATATAATTTGAGGATCAATCAAAATATTAAATTTTGAATTGCCTGACTGGAAGTGTTGAAACTAAAGAAAGTATTCTAAAAATATATTTCAATTATTAAAAAAAAAACAAAAAACAATTAGTTGTCAATGTTAACTTGCGTTAGATTTTGCCTTGTCTTCATCAGATGAAACTATTCGATCATATTCTGAAGATAGTTTACAGTATTTAAATTTTGAGAACTATTTTACTCTATTATTTGCTCATTATAATAAATACATTTTCTGTAATCCTCCAATCTAACATCTAATTTGTATCTGGGAATAAGTGACTTAAATATTTAATACAGAGCAATATTTTAATGTGTGTCCAAGATGTCAATTATGAATAGGCCTTCAATTTAATATGCAAAGCAGAAGGGACCATTGAAACAAATTTTCTAATAGGTGCTTTGTCATGTAGTCGTGTGATGTCCACGTTAATGACTAGTACAACATTGTCCCTTAATATCATGTTACAGTAAGTCAATATACATGGCGCTTTATATTATTATCCAAACAGTAAAATCAAATTGGAACAGTTGCTAGTTGCTAGGTTCAACAAATTTTTTGCTTTTGGGGAAACGAATGTTTGATACAAGGGTTTGGTTTTACGCTCTCAACTTAAGATCCGAGGTTCGAATCCCGTGCTATTCATAATTATGTCCTTTGCAAGTCATCTCTTTGTCTCTCCCTTCACAGAAAGTATAGAATTAGAATATTGAAACTAATTTTCTTTGTTAAGGTCGTTATTGTTTTCACACAATGTAAAATATTTTCTCAAATATGAGGAGGTTTTAGTCTGCCAGTCGATTGATGTTAATTCAAAGCCCTGTAAAGACAAAAACATGTACAGTAATATGCCTAAATATGGTAATGATGTTACGACTATTTATAAGCGCATCATGACTGTATGTGCATACAATTAGTTTTGTCAGAAAATTTGATGATGTAGACAAAGCTTTGCATTTTTCTGTTTAATGCCAACTGGTGCGTAAAAACATGTTATTTTTTACTTCGTAGTGCGTTTACGTCAGGAAGATATGGTACGAGTGATGTTTTGCCCTACCTGACGTGTTATTATACTGAACACTCAGTACGTTCCCAAATACTTGTGAAAAAAATTTGCAAGTGATTCCGGTGGGAATCGAACCCACAACCTCCAGTTACCAGCCTTGCACCATAACCACTAGATCACTGAGCTTGAGCTATGTTATATTTTTTCTTGACAGGAGCATTTCTCATCCCTTATTTCTTGATGATGCTGGCAGTAGGCATGCCACTATTCTTCATGGAGCTTGCGTTTGGCCAGTATGCACGAGAGGGACCCATCACAATCTGGAAGGCTGCGCCTTTATTCAAAGGTAAACGTATTAACTTAGAAATAAAAATAAATAAATAAAAATTTATCAAGGTGTATATTATGTTTTTTATTTTGTGAAGTCTAACTCGGTTTGATTTAGTGAAGTATATAGCTCAAGATAAATTTCAGGATAATCCCTAGCTTCCTTCCTAATCAGATCTGGATTCAATTGCATTTTACATTAAGTTAATTTACTGCGCTTAGATAAAGGTAACCATGACTACATATTTTTTTATTCGTCTTGCTTATATCTGTGAAACTGCAGACTTTTGGACATGGGTGCACTGGCAGAAAAATCAGACAGTTTTTTTCGCAAAAATGCCAATATGATTCAATAGATTCGTTGCAACAAGGAAGTACCTAATGCATTCCAGATATGCATAATGATGTTGATACGTACAATTTAATTATTTTCCATTATGTTTGAGGGGTAATTTCCACAAGGAAACCTGTCATTTATCGGTTTATCCAGGTAAGCATCTTGTTGATAGTGTAACAACATCGCTGCTGATTTATTTCCGGCTGCTTTACACAGTCAGTAGTAGTGTGGAGTTCTTACGGATAGAATTTGTGAGAATAAAATGCTTAGAAAAAGCAAAGTTATTTTAAATAAAGTTCCTAATCTTAATTTAAATGTTATCATTTAAAAATAAACCATCTTAACAATTATGAATGTAATTATTAGTAGATTTTACCTTATTACTGTTTGTTAATGAGGAAATAAATAAATAAATAAAAGGAAATAACTCTATTAATAGTTTCAAGGTTCAAAGGACAAAATTGTTTAATTATATTGAATTTGTTTTAAAGTGTATCTGTACAGAGAGCATTGGAAACAATGTAGGCAATTTTTTGGCATTCAGAAACAGTGAATTTCGTTTTGGAGTTAATGTAAACTGATACTCCCATGGAATACAGAGAAACGATTTTACCAATTAAATTTTAAAAACAAGTAATAACAGTATGTTTGGTAGAAGATAGCTGGAAACCGCTATGTTACTACCTTATTGTTACTACCTTATTGGTCTTTACACTAGGAGACCCCATATGCTTTTCCAATGAGTATTTAAATTATTTAACAGGCGTAGTGGATGGATTTCGCAGGGCGATGAACAATAACTTAATGCTCGACCCTTATAGTGGAAACACTAGCAAAACAGCAGAATTAATCCAGGGCCACAACAATGTCCATGGTTTACAGTAGCTTACTGTAGCAGCAGACCCAGTGGCTCCCACTGCTTTAGCTAACTGAGCTTGGAGGTATCTTGAGCTAAGACAGCTAGAAAGGCAAATCATCCCCTTACAATCAGAGAATGGGTGTTTACTCAAACTAAGTTGGCAAGATTTCATATCATTCAGGTCTTCAGTCCATTAATAATAACCAAAGATCTTATAAACAGAAGATAGCGTTCTCCGCGGTTTACGCATAACAAAATAGAAGCGTTGATTAGGTAGAAAAGTAATCACTTTTGTGAGAGGGCGCCCTATTTGTTGCCATGGTTTGTGTCACGCCAAACTTTGTTACCAAGTACGTTTTTGTTCCTTTTGTTTTAAAGAGAGCGCGCATTGGAGGCCCTGGTGGATTGTAGAATTGTGAAGAAAATTGTAAGAGAAACTTGACATATGATCACAAACATGGCAAAATATATGTGGCCGATAAGAAGACAGTGTGTTTGGTGTTTATAATGTGGGTACCATAATAATGGTAGATTCCCATGCTATAATTAGATTAAGATAATTGGCGTGTTTTCATTGTTTTATTCCATGGACAGTGTTCTCAGCAGTATCAAGATTAAACAAAGACATGTGATCTATAAACTCGTCCAGTTCAGTTATTTCCTCGGAGACACATTTACTCTTAATGTGATGACAGACTGAAAAATTACATGAAAATATTTGTCTTTGTTTTGGAAGTGCTTTATGAAGTCATGAACAGATCATGAAAGTTGGATGTACACCAACATTTGAGCGTACAGTATAGTTTGGTTAGATTTGAAGAGAATTTTAAAAAATCTTTGTTTTTAACAACTCCGTTTACACCCAACAAATTCAATCCAATTTCGACTGATAAGGCGCATAATACTAGCCTCACACAGACAGTTGACAATTAACCTCCAAACCATAGTAGCTAGCAAGGCCAATAAGGAAAAAATGATAAGTCCTTACCAAATTTATGCAGGTCCTTTTTTTTTTACGGTCTGAAATATAATTTTATGAAAAAACAAAATCAATAAAACCAGCAAGATGACATTAGTTTAATGATTTTGATATTTTTTATATTATAATATACTGCTACTCAAGTAAGATGTACAATTATAATTATACAGAGGTCATCTCTGGTCAAAGGTCAATGCTGTTTGTAAATAGAAAAATCGTTGCAACCAAAAAAGATCATTTTTTAAAAGGGTCGCCAGGCGGACGGTACCCAAGATGTTTATTTTTGCGTAACGCCAAATAAAGGTAGCCACTAGGGGCGACTACTACTTTTCAGCCCTGCCCTGATTGGTGAATACCCTGATGCATAATTAACTTTGTATTCTCAACTGAATTCCAATCTAGAAAACCGGACTCACTGGTTGCATCTTAGAAAGAAATTCAAGTTTTAAATAGTATGTGTTAGAATGTTTAGAATCCCATGTGAAATATTATGTCATTGAATAATCAATAAGAAGATACAAGAGAGTAGAATACTACACCCATGTACTGTAAACGATCTAATTAAGATGACTCGAGTAACAATGTTGCCAAGTGAAACCTATTTGCAAGATCTTTGGTGCCAACTACGAAGGGAGCTCTGTTCACACTATCAAATATTGTGACAAATTTGTGTGACATATTGTGACAAATTTGTGTGACATATTGTGACAAATTTGTGTGATGTAGCCATAATAATGTTGGCATGATGATGTCATATTTTGGTTTGGAAGAGGCCTTGCTTTGCCCAGCAGTGGGATGTAAACAGGCTGTACATTAGATGGTGATGAGGATGATGTCATATTACACCCAAATATGGGCATTTCACATTGTTTTTTCACATAAAGTGTGGTAGTGCGGACAGAACTAACCAATTTCTAGCATTAAATGTCTTTGACAGTCGGCCATAAAGATATTTATCCATTCCTAACCTAAAAATGTAATCATTCCATTGTAATTTATAGTAGCTACTGAAATACAGACTTTTCTTCATGGTCGTCTCTACAGTGGATTAGTAAATCTGCCCAGCAGTGGGATGTAAACAGGCTGTAGATGATGATGTCATATTACACCCAAATATGGGCATATCACATTTAAAGAGTTGTGAACCCATATTCATCCATTTCTAACCTACAAATGTAATTATTCTGTTGTAAAACAGTAGCTTTGCTTCCACAGTCGTCTCCACAGTGGATTAGCAAAGCAGCCTGCCTCAAAATTTAACCATTAACCCCGGTACACATGAGAGTAATTTTTGTTCACAGCTTTATGCTCGGCCACGCTTGCCCACATTCGATGAGAAATCTGCTTATCTATGTTGTTGCTGATCCTAACATGTACTACTGTAGGCATTTTGCCAGGGCTGATTGGTTAAATGAGCGCTTACTGTATGATTAGCCAATCAAGTTACGTCAGCAGGTGGATTTTAGTAGATTTACGGTACATAGCGAGAACATTTTTCAGCTGATTTGGAACATTTTTCAAAGACGTAAAAGAATGGGATTCGACCCCTGATTATCTCAGTTACTGTACAGTATAACTTCTGCATCTACAGCTCAAATCATAATTGACCTCTGACCTGTTGTTCAGGAAGAAACTCGATTCAGATTAATACTGAAATCCCAAAAGAGGATGCCCTTTTAACAAAAGTCATTTTTTTGCAAGTAAATTGCCTCAGGGTCCAGATGATAATGTTGATGTTGAATGCTTGTATTAAAATGGAACTTATGAAAACTGAAAACTCTCAGTGATGACACAAATACATGACTGAAATTGTCAGTAAATTGTAAATTGCATTTTGTCATAATTTGCAAAATTTGTATAAATCATCAAAGTGGCATTTGAAGTAATTGATCATCTCTATATATTATCCACATCTGTGCCATCATTTCAACTCTTCCACCTGCTTCATTGCCAACATTTCGCCAGTAAAATATGAATACTGAAATTAAATTTCCTGATGACAGTAGTCAAAATCAAATCAGATATTATTTTTCTTTTGAACATAAGAATATTAACAGGATATTCAGAAATTGAAACTTTTGTTAGCAATATGAAAATATATATTACAAAGCAAAAAAGTGGCCAAAATTAAATAATTAGGGAAAATGTAAGGATGGGAGATCATAATAAGCCTTAATTGGTTACCTGATTGATTCTCCCTCCCTCCCCCTCCCATCAACATCCACACATGTTTTAATCAATAGTAATAATGACAAAGCATAACAGTAACAGTAATTCCTGATGATGACATGATTAATTTCGAAATATTAATTCTATTACGATGACGTGCATTTCAATACTTAGTATGTACTATACTTTCGTAAAATCAATTAACACTATATAATAGTAATACTCAACAAAGAGATACAAAAGAGAAAAAAAAAATGTATTATATTAATATTAATGATGTTGGCAACTGCAGCAAGAAAAAAAAAATTTTCATAAGCAATATGAAAAGATAATAACAGTAATAATATACTGTAGATAATAGCAGTAATAATAATCATAATAATAAAAATATAATTATTGTAGCAATACCAGTGTAATAAAACAAAGGTAAAATAGCATTAGTAGTACAGTAGCATTGATGTCTTCCTTAATCCAGCTGTCTAGGAGACTTGGAATTCTTTTCAGCCTGTTTTTAATAAATCAATATTTAGTCATTGTTGAATAATACTGTGCAGAACGATAATTACGATTGCCCTTGGTTGAATCTCAGTTTGGCCTCCCTCCCCAGTAATAATATTAAATACTTAAATATTTAAGCACTGAGACATCCATCACCTCATCACCTATGTATCAAGG